AATTTATCACTCAGCTGAAAGCACGGACACCTGGAGAAACTCTGTGAAACAATGGTAGGTTTGGGAAGTCCCGCCTATGAGAGGAGAAGCCACGGTGCCTACATGAGAGAGGGACTCCCGCTGCAGCCCAGGGGAGGGAGACCCACATGGAACTTGGCAGCTTCCTGGGGCTGAGGAATCCAGGGGAAGATTCAAGAGGCACAGGCAGCTAGAGTCACCAGGATAGGAAGCAGAGGAGCCTGGAGATGACCCTGATATGACCCGGAAGTGGATTCTCCACTTCCCTATGCCGGAGACCATTTAGTCAGCTGGGTTTGGGGTTGTTGCTCTGTCCCTTGGGCACATAGACTTCATCCCCTCTGGCTCAGCTCCTGTCACCAGTGCCCCTTTTGAGGCCTGTGCTGTCCTGGGGCCTTCTGATTGTTCCTTTTCCACCTCTGCCAGGGCCTCCATGTTTGGCCTCTTGTCCTCTGTGCTGCTAGCCAATGTGCTCTGGGCTGTGGGACATGAGCTTCTCTGCTGTCCCTATCCTGTCCTGCCTGGTGCCTGCTCCAGGCTTCTCCTGAGCACCCCTTGGAGGCCCTTCAAAAAGAGCTAGCGTGTGAGTACAGCCGCCCCGTCCTTGGGTCCTGGGTTTTCAGTTACTCCGAATTATTGTGCTTTGGCCACATTTAGGAATTTATTAAAATATTAGGATTCCCAAAATAAAAGACCCAATCAAAAATTGGGCAAGTGAAATGAATAGACACCTCTCAGAAGAAGTTCAAATGTACATGAAAAAACACTCAGCACCTCTGGCCATTAGAGAAATGGAAATTAAAACAACACTAAGATTCTACCTTACCCCTGAAAGAATGGCCGTCATCAAGAAATCAACCAATAACAAGTGCTGGCTAGGCTGCAGGATACAAGGGAGCCCTTCTACATTGTTGGTGGGAATGTAAACTAGTGCAACCACTGTGGAAATCAGTATGGAGACTCCTCAGAAACTACAGCTAGAAATTCCATTTGACTCAGCTATTTCCTTTCTAGATATCTTCCTGAAAGAGTTAAAGACATCATATCACAGTGATCCATGGACACCTGTGTTTATAGAAGCACAACTCATGATAGCTAAATCTTAGAAGTGGACTATATGACCATGCACAGATGAACAGATAAAGAAAACGTCATAGACACAATGGAGCACTACTCTGCCATAAAGAAGGATAAACTTGAGTCATTTGTAGGAAAATGAATGCACCTTGAGACCATAGTGTTAAGTGAGATAAATCAGACATACAAGCTTAAATATCACATGGTTTCTCTTATATGAAAAACCCGAAGCATAAATACATTAAAGAGCAAAACAAAAGATAGATAATAGGAAATAGGAAGAGGATATAAAAAACTTGAGATGTGTTACATGTATGTACCAACTCCTCATGAGGAATTAATTATCATGTACCACAAACATGTACTAATAAAAATTTTCTTAAAAAAAGACTTCGTTGAAATTTTAGCTGCTTTTTTCCTACTTGCATTTTTGGACAAGCACATCCACCAGAGATGAAACGTCTGTGGGTTCCAGGTACCCTGGAGCAGCATCTGTCCTTGGAATTTGTTCATACCTTTGTTTCCTGGCCTCACCTCTCAGCAGGGCACAGGCTAAACGAGGGTTTTCTTAGTGTCAGGTGTTTTTCTTGTTCACACGGAAACCTCACTCTCCTGCTAAGGGAGGCAGGACTCTGTCTCATTTGTCCTAACAAACATCAGCTGAACACTCTGGTCAGCAGCTCTGCACGTGGAGAGATGAAGCGTGGACTCTGCTGTTTGCTGGCGGAGCAACGTGGACCTCGTGGGTGTGTACAGGGGACAGAGTCGGTCTGGGGCAGTGGGAGGCGGCGACACCTGGAGGTCACGCTGTGCCGATGTCCAGTGGAGCACAGTTCCCAGGGGCACAGGGGAGGCCAGCACATCCTGGGCAGAGCGGCCCCAGGCTATGCCACAGTGTGTGTGTGTGTGAGGGGCAAAGCTGTCCTTGTGGGGCCCTGGCCCTGCACCCCAAGTTTTCTGCCTGCTGCTGGAGCTCCCTGGCAGTCATCAGCTACCACAGAGCTTCCGATCTCTGCAGGACGCAAGCCGGTTCCTGAAAAATCCCACACAATGCAAGCCCGGGCAGTGGCCTCCCAGCTCCCATGGTCCTGGTTGCAGCTCTGCCACACACTCCCGTGACTCAGTCTCCGTGTCTCTCATCAACCCCACAGCCTAGGGCCCCTCGAGGGTGACAATGGCTTGATGAGTTTAGCATTTCCAGCCCCGAGCTCATGCCCAGCTTGATAGGAGCACAATGAGCAGTGGGTGAACTGAAATCACATAATGTGGCCTGTGTGCCCTGCCCTGGGAGCTGGCCACTCTCCGGCTGCCACCCCCTCAGGCCTGTCAAAAAGTCTGGCTATGGAGTGGGGCATGGTGACACACATCTGTAATTCCAACACGCAGGAGGGTGAGGCAGGAGGATTTCTGGGAGATCAAGGCCAGCCTGGGCTACATAGTGAGACTCTATCTAAAAAAAAGAAATCAGCCTATCCAGGAGGTCAGCATATAGACTCCATGGTCATTTTGTTTGATTTTTTAATTGAAGAGTGGAGGCCGTTTGATTCCAGGCAGTCACCACCTCCTGGAATTTGCAAGTCAGGTCTTTTCTAAATGTTAACTTTTAGTAAGCTAAATTATTCATTCATTCCTCTACCCAGTGACATTTTGATTGCTGCATTCACCGTCTAAATTGTAAATGATCTCAGATTCCATTTGAGCTGCCCTGGACATGCAATAGCTGCACGGGGATAGGGAATCGCCTGCGAGGCAACACTGGCTTCACTGTGACTTTTACAGAGCAAATAATTTCTGCCTAAACCAGGAAACAACGGAGGCATCTGTTCCCAAATGAGACGTTCTTTCCCACGGGAACTGCGATCCAGCCTGTCTGGGCTCTGCCTTTGCTTCGCCCGCCTCCTTGTCCCTCATCAGCACAACACTGTCACGTTTTTCTAGATCGCAGCTGAGCCTGGGCCGAGGATGAAAGGCTGAAGCGTAAAGCACTAAAATGTCCTGTCGGGAAGGTAACGCTGGAGGCTAAGGTCAGCAGGTGAAAGCGGAAAGAACAGTTTACACACCCATAGTCCGGCAAGGACGCAGAGGGTCAAAATAAACGACACGCATGGCCGTGATGTTGATCTGCAGTCTCAGCGCAGAGCTGAGGGAGAAGTGAAATGTAGCTCGCTCGGAGGAGAGGCTCAGAATGGCTCGGATTTGCAGCAAGCTGGTACAGGAGGCTTCCCTGCAGGAAACAGCAAGCACTAGGGCGTGGGATTCACTGCTGCCCCCAAATGATCCATCATAGGAACCTGGAACCTGTTTTCTTTATATCTCCATATATATATACATATATGTATATAAAATAAGGGAGAAAATGCCTGCATATATATATATATGTATTTTCTCCCTTGTTTTATTTCACCCAAAACCCAGTCTCTCCTCCGATCGTGGGTCTGCGTTTTGATCTCCTTTCCTGTTTGAACTCTGCCATTTCTTTTGATTTTCCTCTACAGCCCTCTGACAAGCCCTGAGTCCTCTTCCACTCCTGCTGCCATCAGCGTCCCTCTGTTCCCTCCCCAGCTGTGGCTGTGTGGTGACCAGGCCACGGGGAGGCTGCCTCAGAAGAGAAAGGCGGCCGAGTCCCAGCAGCGTGGGCCAGTTAGCAGACAGATGCAAAGTTCCGTCTGCATTTGCTCATTTTCACCATCAGTGCACATTTAAGGGATGTTTGGTGAGACAGATGCAGAAACAAGTTCTCTAAAGTTTAGCAAAGTCAAGTGTGAGCTGATAAATCATACTGCATGGTAAGCATCGGACAGGAGAACAAAGCACTCTGGGGCCCTCGGGAGGTCATGGGGCAGATGCAGGTCTAGAGAGGCCCGATGGTCACAGGATTGGGATGCCTTTTAGTGAAAAAATACCTCAGTCCTACAATTTTCCAAAAATACGTTTCTACACGAACACATTGCTAAAACCCTTCCCGTGGTCTTGGTAGAAATCTGTGCAAAGGAGAGACCTGCAGGTTAAATTTCACTGGCTTCACAGTGAATCCACCCCTGGAGACACCATTTGACTTGGGCTTTGAAGATGGCCTAGGAGTTTGCCAGACAGAGAAAGAAGGGACTCCTCCACCTGGCTTATCGCAGCACCTCTGTGATGAGAGGTGTCAGGGGCATGGTCCTGGGCTGGGCTGAAGTTGCTGATGCTGCAGGAGTCCGCTTCTGCTCTATACCATGTTCCGTTCACCCACTGTGAGCGACGTGGTTGAGATACCTATTCTTGGGAGGACGCAGTGCTGCTTTGGAAGCCCCGAAACCCTTGGGGCCTGATGCCTTCCAACTGCTGAGTCTGGAGCGGTTGCAGTGAATGAATTAGGTCTCGGTTTCAGTGGAGATAAATCTCGAGACTGCACAATTAAGCGGATAAAGCAAGTTATAGAACACTGGCACAGCGTGCCGCCATTTCTGGAAGACACGGATGCCGGAGAACCCACCACATCCTGTTCACGGGGGTCCCTGAAACCCGCCCGGACCCTGCAGCAGGGGCAGGGTGTGCTCTGAGCCTGTTCACAGCAGCTTCATGGAATGGAAACACCACAGTCAATAAAACCTACATGTCAGCAAGCACGTGCTGTTCATTTCAAATGGGGTATGTGGGTATTATATCACTCTTTAGGATTATGTTTAGTTCGTTTTTAAAAGAAAGAAGTAAAGTTTGCTTTGGAGCGTAAGCTTGGGGTAACAAGAGGGTTTTTTTCTGTTCTGCTATGGACATTAGCACCCCCTCATCTCTAGATTCACTGCCACCGTCTCTGTACCTGTGGTCAATTGCAGCCCCAAAATATCAGATGGAAAATTCCAGAAATAAATGATTTATAAGTTTTAAACAACTTTTATTACAATGTTGTTAAAGTCAGTCTATTTGGTTGTTATTGTCGTTAACCTCTCACTATGCCTAATTTGTAAATTAAACCCCGTCATGGGTGCGAATCTCCAGGACAACCATACCTAGAGGGCTTGGGGGTGTCTGCAGTTTCAGGGGTCCCCTGGGCCTGGGGCTGTGTCCCCCGAGGACAGAGGGAGAGCGGTAGGTGGGCGGCACACAGGGGCATCAGGGCCTCTCAAGTCCGGGGTTAGCCTTGACGGTTGGGACCTAACGGGCTGCTGAGTCTGTTTGGAGTCACGCCAGGCCCTCTGGACTCCGACCTGGTCTCTGCAGGCCAAACCACATCAGCCTGCTTCTCCTGCCAACCCCGAGCAGATAAGAGCTGAGTGGAGCCAGTGATGGAGAGAGGAGGGGAGAAGCCAGGCAGCAGGAGCCGGTTGGGGTGCTGGGGATAGGGCCATGGCCACCCCTCCTGAGGGCTGCGCTCCCGGAGGCCTCGGAAGAGGAAGCCGTCTGTGCCTCTCCATCCGGGTGCGCTGTAGCTGCTGGGGCAGTGGTGACTGGTGCTTGGGCAAGGTCCCCGCCTCTTTTCAGTTTCCAGGCCCATCTGGTGTTTCCCATCCGCAGAGCCCGGTAGTGCCTGCTGAATGGGAGCCTGTGACACTGCCTCAGCCACTTGTCCAGCACTCCTCCTCCTCCTGATGATAAAAGGACAGATTTGTCACCTGCTGGCACCCAGTAGATGTTGGGAAATCAAAGGAGAGACAGCATGGAAGGGTCCTGGTTTCTATTTTTGTTGTTGAGACAAGGTCTCGCTACACAGTTCAGATTGGCCTTGAACTCACTACGTGACCCAGGCTGGCCTTGAACTCATGGCAATCCTCCTGCCTCAGCCTCCTGAGTGCTGGGATTAGAGGCGTGCACCACCATTCCCAGCCGGGTCCTGGTTTCTTGGGCTGAAACCCTGTAGAGTGAACTTGAGCCGGGATTCCAGCTGGCTTGGGTCCACCAAGCAGACAGGACCTGAGCCTCCCTTGACCTTCAGTTGACCCATGAGGCTTCATCTCCTGTGTCGCTAGTGATCTTGGGCCCTTGACTTCAGCATGTCAGTGACCTCCACTTTTTGCTTTTTTAAGAAGGATTCTCACTATGGGGCTGAGGCTGGTACCAAACTCCTAGACTCAAGGAAATCTCCTGCCTCAGCCTCCTCAGTAGCTGGGACTCCAGGCATGGGCCACTGTGCCCAGAAATGACCTTCATTTTGCAGCCTTTCTGACCCTTGCTCTTGGGGTCACTGAGTCGTTACCCGGAAAAGCTTCATCCCTGAGATCCTAAACTTCAACTTTTTCTTAGGTCATTTGCAGACACTGCCAGAAAGTCTTCAGTGGCCATCGAAGAGCACCATGTTGTGCAGAAGGAACCTGTGTTTTCCACACTCCCTTCTAGGAGGCTATGGTGACTACCTCCAGGTGACTACATTCCAGCTCATGGAGGCATTAAAGCAGAAGTGGTCAACGAAACTTCTGAGAACTGTCCTCAGATGAAGAAGACAATCCATTCCTTGGTCCTTCCTCCTTGCTGGGTGGAATAAGGATGTGATGGCTGGCTGTTGGGCACTAGGATTAAGGGTGTGAGTGCTGCCCACACTAAGTAGTCTGAATAAGATAAAAGGGGCAGGAAGACCCTGGTAAGCTCCCTTGTTACTGTGAGGGCGCCATGAACTGTTTCTCCTCTGTGATGCCCTTCTGCCATGCCACCCCGCCTTGGAGCCACCCAATTACAGACTGAAACCTCTACAAACTGTGAGCTACATCAACCTTTCCTCCTTCAACTTTGGGTGTTGGATATTTTGTCTCAGCAAGGAGAAGAAAGTGACTAACACAGTGGGAGACCTGCTGGTGCCTAGGGAGGCCTTCGTCCATCATCACACCAGGCTCTCCAGAAAAGAGCTTCTCACTGGCCATAGCTCTGGGTTCTTGGGGCTACACAGCCTTCCTCCTCCCACCGTCTTTCTCTGCAAATCCTCTCTCATTCTGATACACATGGGGTCTGCATATCAAGAGCCGCACTGTGAACCAGGGAGCCAAGAGAATGGAGATAGACAGGGGGATGGACAGGGTGAGGGGTGTGACCATCAACCCTGGCGTGTCAGCCTCACTGGGTAAGGCGACACCTAGCAGATTAGTACAGCACACTTCTGGGTGTTTCTGGTGGGTCATAGGATGGGACCTTGGGGTCTATATCTGGTCTGTGGTCCCTTCCTCTCTGGCACTGTTCTGCTGCTCTGCTTCCTGGCCACCATGAACTAAGCAGCTTTGCCCCACCATGCCCTTCCACCATGATGTTCCTCTTGGAGCCAGCTGACCATGGACTGGATCCCCTAAAACCGTGAGCCAAACAAACCTCTCTTTCTTTAAGTTGTGGGTGCTGGGTAATGTGTACCAGCAATGGTAAAGCTGACTAATACAGAGGGAGGGAAAGAGAGATGACTACGCAGATGGGGGAAATAATAAGAAATATTAAGGTAAGAATAATAAGAAAAATTAAGGTAAGAATTTTTTTTAAACCAAGGGTTGAAGCACAGACATCTAGCATCCTTTCTCATCTGGCCAGCTGGTGGGGCAGGTGCCTAGTATCGCCAAAGTCCCCCACAATCGTGATGGTAAGCACATCTAATCCAAGCCATCAGTGATGTTCAATTGCCATCATTGCTTCCGGACAGTTTCGCTTCCACCACAGAAAGATGGATATTGGAGAGGCGTGAAGATAGGGATGAAATATGCACATATTTCCTGTGAGTGTGTTTATTCATATGGGTCCCTGTTCTTAACAAAAGGCCATCTAATGGAAGAGAACCACATGACTTCGCAAACGTCAGCTTGCCCCACACTGCCTGCCCCACGATGCAGCCACTCTGGCCAGCACCAGTGTTGTGTGTCTGCAGCTGTATATGTGTGTGTGGCACTTCCAAACTGCACCACAAGAAATCCCAGTGAGGTAAGGGTCGACTCTGCAGAAGATGACAGGCTGATGGCTTTTGGGGTGTGGAGGACTGGCGACAAAGCAGTCAGCTCCATGAGGTCAGGAGCCTGGTGTCTTTGGGAACTGCTCTATGCCCAGCTCCTAGCAGAACACCAAGCACCAAGCTCGGGTGTGCAGAGGGCTGAACATCAGGGACCACTGTGTGGGGGTACAGGGGAGGTGTCTTTAGGACTGAGGGCGTCTGTGTTCGGGGTCCCTGGGTGTAAAGCTGGCACACTACCCGAGGAGCTTGACCAGTCACACTTGAAGGTGACAACAGGCCTTGCCTGTGTCTTTTCTCTCTGATGTCACTGCTGGGTCACCAGTAGTGTGGCTGTCCCCCATCGCAACTGCCTCTAAGGGATGCCCCCCGTGGCCTAGCTTCCCCCACGAGGCCCACTGCCCACAGTACCACCCCTCCTGATAATGCCTAACACACACCTGCCAGTCACCTAGGTGGTCCTGGTGCATGGCCAAGCCCTCCATCAATGACTAACATGGTGTCTATTATTGATTACAAAGCGTGGATGTGTCAGGTCCCCAGAGGAGGGGGCTCACCAGAGGCGGAGGGAGGGGCTGCGGACCTCTTCCTCCTGACTCTGAGGTAACTCAGGGAAGTCTCCATGGGAACCAGCTGCACACACCCGGGCCCCCAGGTCACACACGTGGCCAAGGTAGGAGGCGTGTGTATGCTGTTCCTTTCTCTTGTGAGACCGTGAATCCATGCACAAACCACAGCTACCAGCACGACAGTGCCTCAAGTGTGCATTTACGGCATGCAACGAGTCTCTGAGGTGACGTGGCTTGGGCTATATTCCTTCCAATTTTTAATTGTCAAGAACAAAATTGAACATGCTTATGTTGTACAACATGTTTTGATCTACGTACATACTGTGGAATGGCTATGTCAGGCTAATTAAAATATCTATTACTTACTATGGCTTGTTGTTCTGTGGTGAGAACATTTAAAATCTACTCTCTCAGCAATTTTCATTACACAGTGCATCATTATTAACTATAGCCACCACATCGCAGAACACAGCTGAACCGACTCCTCCTGGCTCAGGGAGATTTCCTCTGACCAGCAGCCCCCAAATCCTGCCCCAGCCCGTGGTCAGGGGCATTGCTTCTCTGCTTCTGTGTATAAGTGAGCTCATGCAGGATTTGTCTTTCTGGTTCATCCACGGTGTTGAAAATAATAGGACCTTTCTTTTTTACATATTTCTTACATTTTAACACACTCCTCGCCCCCAGAAAGCATGAAGGGGCGGGGCTGGAAGTTCACAGATTGGACCCACCTAGCAGTAAGCACGGGCCTGCTGACTTTCTGCAGCGCACTGTGAGGTTCCCAGGAGGAGACCCCTTCGCTTTCCTGGGGCCACAGCCAGCGAGGTGGGGAAGCCGACTTCGTGAGCACCGTCCGGGGCCGGAGACCTCCGCAGCGACCTGGCACAGCGAGGCCGGGTTAGGCCGGTGGGAGCTGTTGGAGCCCAGCCTTCCCCTCCAGGGACAGCGGCCGCTGGGGACGCCCCCGACAGGGGACAGGGATGCGGGTTCAGTGCAGGGCCGAGCTTCCGGCTTCTGGAGCACACGCCCCCGCCACGCGTCCACGGCCTACCTGGAGCAGTTGAGTCAAGTCCACTTCGCCTCCCCTGCGAGGCCAGGCCCCCGGTCGCGGCTACCGAGGCTCCTCGGTGACGTCCGTGTGGGGTTGCTAGGCAGCGAGGCTGCAGGGCCCTGGTACCTGTGATGCTGCTCAGGTGTCTGCAGCAGCCTCACTGCGCCTGCGCCTGCCCCGGGCGCCCTTGGCTGGTGAGTGAACAGGATCATCGGCTGCAACTCTTACGGGCCGGCCGTGCCCCGCGGGCGATGTCCCGACTTTCACTCCGGAAGGTCTGTGTGGTCCCGGGCCCTCCCAGAAGTAGGTCAGTGTCAGTTTAGGTAAGCGCTGTAGAGGCACTGAGAATTCAGTTCAGTGCGGACTTGACTTTCAGGGGTGCATCGTTCTCGGGGTGGGGGTGCGCCTGCCTTGCCCACTTGAGAACCAGCTGCGGCCTGGGGGTGACTTCGCTGGTGTTGGGGGCAACAAGGCCTGAAGGGCGGGCGAGGTGACTTCTGTGGCCAAGCACGGCAGCCTTGCCCACAGGAACGCCCCGCAGTCTCAGGGCCAGCCCGGCGTGCGGTGGGCCACGACCCCCAAACATGGCTGCAAACTGTGTCCCCGGGACTTCAGGAAATCCTGCAGCCAGGACTCAGCCAAGCCCCAGGGCACAGCGGGCTGCGAGTGCGGGCATTCCCCAGCCCTGACTGCTTGTAGAGTCCCCGGCAAAGCACTGAAAAGATGCCCACGTCACACCCAGGAGCCCGCTGGGTCTGGCCCGGTGGGGCCCGGTCAGCTGGTGTCAGGAGCATGCGGCCAGCTCTGGAGGTCACCCAGCACGAGTGAGCCCCAGGCGGCCGTGCTGCCCGGGGCGGGGAGGAAGGCTGCACGGCTGCTGCTCTGCACCTGCACTCTGCTCACCGAGCCCCGGGCTTATTCGACCCACAGTGAGCCCAGCACCCTTCCCCTGCCCTCCGGGGTTAGGGAACTGGAGATTCCTCTTATTATAAAGGCAGAGGAGTCAGTCCTGGCCTCCTCACCCCTGTGGGCCGTTTGCCATCTCTGTCTTGGTTCTGTATCCACAAGACTTCCCATTTGGGGGAACAGTTGTCCCGGCAGGATGGGGTAAGATACCCTGCACAAACAGTCCCCAGAACCGGGCAGCTCACCAACCCAAGGGTGACTCTCACCCACATAAAGCAGGTCTGTGTCCAGTACTGGGGGACCCAGCCTGACGGATGTGTTCAGTCGGCAGGGCAGAAAGGGCTGCTCCGCCCCTGCTCACCTTTCATCAGCCGGAGAACAGGCCAAACATCCAGAACAGCGGGTTTCTCAGTGCTGCCCTGAGAGTGCTGCCCTGTCCGGAGTATGACTCAAGGAAACCAGCAAACCACAGGTGTGGAGGGGGATCTTTTATGGACTGGATGACAGGTGGCTTTTTCCTCACGATGCCACACAAGGTCCCCTGGATGCTGTCCGCCACTTCCTCTTCAGTGTACTGGGGACCAAACTCAGGGCCTTTGCACTGAGCTGCATTCCCAGCTGTATTTATGTATTTTTTCCCCGTTAAGTTTATTAGTACACTTCAGGTATACAGTACAGTTACATTCATCATTGGGAGCTTGTACTTGTACATGATGCATCTTAGTTCTTATATTTTCCCCCTTCCCCTGCCCTCCCCCCCACCCCTCTTATTTACAGAGACTTTGTTTCCATTTTTTCCTTTTCTCATATTTTTTCTTTTCCCTTCTTTCCTTTCCCCTACCCTTACCACTTTCCCTACCCCTTTAGACCTTTTCTTCCTATTTCACATTATCAGTTACACATTTTGATCCTTATTCACACTTTCAGTTTCTCACACTAGAGAAACGATTTGGTATTTACACACGTGTGTCCTATTTATTTCACTTAAGAGTATGGCCTCAATGTGCATCCAGTTCGCTATAAATGTCTCTAGTTTCTCATTCATTATGGCTGAGTAGTATTCCATTTTACAAAAAAAACCACATCTTCTTTATCCAGTCTCCAGTTGATGGATACTTGGGCTGCTTCCAAGCTTTAGCTATTACAAACTATGCTGCTATGGACATGGGTGCACATATATCGCTGTGGTATGATTCTTTTAATTCTTTGGGGAAGATCCCCAGCAGGGGAATAGCTGGGTCAAATGGGACCTCTAGTCCTAGTTCTTTGAGGTATCTCCATACTGACTTCCACAGTGGTTGCACCAGTCTGCACTCCCACCAACAATGGAGAAGGGTTCCTTTCTCCCCACACCCCCTCCAGCATTTCTTATTGGTTGATTTCTTGATAGCAGCCATTCTTTCTGGGGTGAGGTGAAATCTCAGTGTTGTTTTCATCTGCATCTCTCGAATGACTAGTGATGTTGAACATTTTTTCATATGTTTATTTGCTGCTTTTACTTCTTTGTCTGAGGAATGTCTGTTCATTTCAGATGCCCATTTTTGAATTGGGTTTTTATATTTGGGGGTCTGATTTTTTAAAAGTTCTTTATATATTCTAGATAGTAGGCCTTTGTCAGAGGAACACCAGCTGTTTTTATATTTTAAATTTTGAGATGATATCACTAAGTCGCTAAGTTGTCCACACTGGGTTCAAATTCTCGCCCCTCCCGCCTCAGCCTCCGAGAGTGCTGGGACTTCAGCCGCTCTGGAAAGATTACTCACTGGGATGGATGGCAGGGAGGAATGTCAGCATGGATGGGCTTCTCTCCACCCACTTATCTTTGCAATATAGACAAGCGCGGTATCACACTCGATAAAAACACCAGTCCAACAGGCCAAAGTGGTGGACAACTGAATTTTTCTTGGGAAATCCCACAGGAGTACAACAGGCGTCGCCTGCTTCTTGCCTTTGGTGATGTTCTCTCCCTCTTCCCTCCCCCTTTCTTCTGAGAACCCTTACAGGGGCTTCCTAGAGCTCCCCAGGCAGAAGGGACCCCTCTGTGCCCCTGTGCACCTGGAGACAGGATGAGAGCTCTTGGCTGTGGCGCTGGGGCTTCCCGTGTATCAGGGGGTCGCTGTACCCAGCAGATCTTGTCAAAGGGCCTTGCTGAGGGCTTAACCAGTGCCGCTTGTGAGTCCTCGGAGCTGCCTGCCAGGTGACCACGAGCACCATCTCTACTCTGCACGCGGGACGCTTGGGCTCAGGGGGACCCGGGCAGCTGACCCGGGAGGCAGACCAGTGAGGAGGGCAGCAGCCTCGGGTCCCGCTGGGCTTCACGTCCCACAGGCAGCTCGTCATCAGCGTGTGTTGGGTGACGCACACCGCAGCCCATGCCGCGTGCCCATCACCTGAGGAGCTGTGGCCACCTGGGGCGAACTCCCCTAACACAAGCCATGCAACCCGTGCTCCAGGTGGCTGCTTCTTCCCATCCCCTCCCCGGAAGCCTGGGATTTACAGCGCCAACAGCTCCCCGCAGGTGCACCTAACCTGACACCCTACCCTGTCCTCCTTTTCGGGATTGGAAATGGTACCTTTGGGTGCCCCAGTGGCAGGGCTGCTGTGAACCTGGGGTCTCAGCTGAGCGATGAGCTCACCCCGGGATCACCGTGGCCACTAGGAGGCTTTGCGAGGATTCCCGGAGCCCCAGAGGCTCTAACCTGCTGCAGTCAGGGGAGCACCTCTTTGTGATGGGTGGTTCTCCAAGCTCCCGGGAGGGAGTCAGTGCTCCTAGTGCTCTTCTTCCGGTGTCTCAGACTGCTGTGCAGCCCCCAACCCCACTCAGGGACCTCAGCTGTTTCCTTATTTAAAAAGAGCCAGCTGGACGTGGTGGCGCATGCCTGCTATTCCAGCACTCTGGGAGGCTGAGGCAGGAGGACACAAGCTCGAGTCCACCCTGGGCAACTTGGTGAGGCCTTGTCTCAAAATGAAAAAGGGCTGGGGGTGTAGCTCAGTTTGGAGGCCCTGGGTTCAATCCCCATTTCACAGTGCCACCACCCCAAATTAAAAGAGCAAGCACTCACCTTTACTAAGGGACCAGCAGTGGCTCAGAAGTTACAGCGTCTAGCCTTGAGAAAAGGCCCGAGAACCATGCCGTCCCGGCGCTCCCAACCCGGCCACTTGACCGACTGGTGAATGAGCTCCAGGTGGGGAAGCCGAGCGCCGGCACTGAAAATGCTCTGTGGTCAGATCTGCACGGCCTTTGCCGCTCGGACCATTCTCAGGCTTACGGCTCCGTGGCATTGGGGGACCACAGTTCCAGGACTTTCCCCTCACCCGGAAGCAGAACTCCACGGCCATTCTGCACGGAGCCCATCTCCACCCACCACCCCTGCTGACCACCGTGCCACTTCCGAACTGAGAGTCTGACTACCCTGGTCTCCACAGTACCAAGCAGACTCACACAACACCTGTGTTTTTGTGACTGGCTCATGTCACGCACGGAGCATGTCTTCCAGTCACAGCATGTGGTATTCCCCACTTTTCCAGGCCCAGTAATATTCCATGGTGCACGTGGGCCACATCGTGTTTACCCGCCCTGCCAGGGGTGGGTGTTGGGGCTGTGTCCACCATCCGCTGTTTCGAGTGACGTGCCTGTGGGCACTGTGCATAAGGGCCTGTCTGGGTCCATTTCAGTGTCTTTATTTGTACCCTTCAGTGGGACAGCTGTGTCCCCTGGGGGTCCTGTGTAACTATGAGGACCTGCCACACTGCCGTCCATGGTGAGCACAGCACATTCCATCCCCACCAGCTGTGCACAGGGTTCCGGTCTCCCCCAGCCTCCCCACACCTACCGGGGCTGGACCTGATTCCAGCGGCTCAGCCAGGTGTGGAGTGAGGTTAGGGGAACATTGCAGCCAGAGACTGGCTGAGCTAGCTCCCTTCACACCCGGTGGCAGCAGGCTTCCTGGTGAGCCCTGTTCCCAGCCAGCCAGCCCAGTGCACACCTGTAACCACAGCACTGGGGAGGCTGAGGCAGGAGGATCTCAAGTTCCAGTCTACTGGGTAACTTAGCAACTGTGAGACATCCTCTGAAAACTGAAAAAGGA